CAGGGGGGGCAATGTTGGTGGCCGCGGGGGAGCAGGGGGGCGTGGGCAGGGCGGCGGCAGTCCTTGCCGCGGTGGGAGAGGGGCGGGAGAGGCGGGAATCGATGGTGGTCAGCCGCCGGCGGCGCCCGTTTCCCGGTCGGGACGAACCCTGACGCGGACACCTGTGGTGGATGTTTAGGTGTCTTCGAGGGGGGGTTGTTTCGTGATGCAGAACAGCTGGTATCCGGGTGAAATTAGCTCCGAACGGCTTGAAGTTTGCGTGTGGAACCGATTTCAAACCGTAGCGTGTTAAATATTGTTCACGAGGTTGCTTGAGGCAATTTGGGGTCGAACAGCACCGCCGGGGGGGTCGGGACGGGCCGGCGGGCAGTTTGTCGAGAAACCCGGGGATGCTGCACTTTTGTCCCCTGGTCTATGTGCTTTTTTTTTTCTTCTTGTCCAACGCGTTTTCTGCAACGTTTACTTCGTTTCTCTCAACCGGCGTCTCGTGGGGGTTGAGTTGTGGGTGTAAAATGTTCATCTAACTGTAGCAGATTTTTTCGGAATTTTCTGCCGTACAAGCCGAAAAAGGGGGGTATTACTGTACCCCATGTCTGGACAGGCATGATGTCGTCCATATGCACAGGTATTTGATTGCCGCAATTTTTTTTTTGTGAGTCCGAGTAGCACGCATACAAGTCATTAGTTCATCAAATTACTACGTTTGCATGGTTTCAAGGCAAGAGAACACGCAGTACCACCCAAAAGGGGTATATTCCGTTCCTCAAAACTGGGCCGAAAAACCGGGGATATGGGCATTTTGTCCCCGGGTGTGCACCATTTTATTTTATTGTTTTTGTATCGAACATACGTCATACTAAGAGCCTGTGTACCAAATTTCAGGTCGTGGAACGCTTTAGAACGTGCGTATCCGGCCACTACCGGAAAGTAGTCCTTAATACCCCCCCCCCTCCTTTTGACCCAAATTTTACCTAGAATGTGAGGTATACTTCAAGGTCTATATATACTCGCCACCTTCACTTTTTTCAATTTTTCTTTCTTTGTCATGTAGTCTATGTTATAGGCTATCGTATGATACCTTGATCGCTTCATGAATCATCTTGAAACCAGAAAACAAGCTGCCTAAGTGGGGGGTGCCTTAGGGGGTCCTTAATACCCGTCCTTACTCTGATCAAGGCCAGCAGCAACAGTGATGATTCGAGCAGGAAACATGTAGGGCGAGGCGGTGCTGCCATAAGATCGATCAGACCCGCCCTTGCTTGTGTGTGGTTTAAAGATACGATGTCGTCGCCGCCGGTGCCTATTTCCCAACGGCATCAAGAAGCGTCTGGCACTCGCTTTCAGTCTGCGCAGTCCTGCCGCACCACGCCACCATATACAACAACAGCAGGAAGTACAGTAGAGTACGAGTCGTACTGTAATCTATAGATGTGAAATGCCACAGGTCTGATGCGTGCAATGAAATGGAGATCTCTCCTGCTGTCCTGCTGCGGTATTGTACGATGTCCGCCAATTCCCGACGAACAGCAAACAGAACGCGCGCAGCAGCAGTCTTTCCCCACCAGCCAAACCAACAAAAGCTACCACCAACAACAGGGATGTGTATGATAGTAGAGCGATGCTAAGTGCCACTGCACTAGTATGCCAGTCTCTCTTGTTGCTGTGCGTTGGATCAGCGTGTGGTGATCATGATGAACTAATGTCGTTGCCGCTTCGCGGCTAGCTGCTGCTGCTGCTGCTGCTGCTGCTTATTTTTTCGCTAGTGCTGCCGTGCCGTCAACTGGAGGACCAGCAGCAGCATGCAGCAACAACAACAGCGCAGACAGGTTTCCTCGATGTCCCACAAGCCCCTCCTCCTCTGTGTGCTGCGTGCTGCGTTGGCTGTGTGGGCTGTGTAGGCTGTCTGGTACATCTTCCTATCGGTTTGGCCAGCTGCCGAGTGCTCGCCAGACAATACCACGTCTTGTTTTCTGGTCAGCGTCTTGGTCAGACGATTGCGTGAAGCAAGACGCAAGAACGTGCACGTTGCACCATCACCTGCAGTACTTCGGGCCAACACGACTCTCGGATGTTGTTGCACTTACAGATTTTCGATACTCTCTTCGCGGAAAAAAGGTGACCGCGAGGCGTGCGTGATGCTGACGAGATGGTGTATGCGTGTGTGTCGAAAGGTGTGGTATTTGCATCATGAGCGGTGTGGGTGCCAACTCTCATTTATTCGTAGCGTCTAGATGCGACGTTCGACTATCCGCTTGGTCGGGGGGGATCCGTTCGACAGCACGCTGCTGATACAATGACGCAACGAGCGCAAGGTAAAATTCGTCGTTGTTTCCTCCATCCATGCACCCCCACCACGACGACGACAAGCGGACTCATGCCTGTGTGGGGTGTCCTTGCTACTGTGAAGCCAGTCCACCTTTGGTCCATTTCTGTATATGTGCATACTGCTGCCGTGACACGCATTCCATCGGCACGGTTGTGGGAAAAAATGAAGGGAAAGCGACACAACAGGGTATACCCTGGTCGAAAAGCAAAGCGACAGACCTGGGTACATAGTGTACAGCGACGTGAAATGAACCCATATGATTGGTCAAAACCCACTTTCACCCCGCCGCGTCGCAAAAAGCGCAGGGTATACCCTGCCGT